ATGGGTCTGCCTCTGAACAGTGCTCAGAAACTTCAGCTGTTCGAAAGAGCTGCAGCCAGGTGGCTCACTGGGTCTAGTTACCCCCCACTTGAAGAGCTCCACTTGCTGCCAATCTGTTTCTAGGCACAATTCAAAGTGTTGGTTATGTCCTTTAAAGCCCTAGATCAAGGGTCCTCAAACTAAGGCCCGAGGGCCAGATACGGCCCTCCAAGATCATTTACCTGGCTCAGGGTCAACCTAAGTCTGAAAGCAGACAACAACAACAATCCTATCTCATCAGCCAAAAGCAGGCCCACTCTTCCCATTGAAATACTAGTAAGTTTATATTAAAATTGTTCTTCATTTTAATTATTGCATTGTTTTAAGTGTTTTTTGCACTACAAATAAGACATGTCTAGTGCGCATAGGAATTCATTCATGTGTTTTTCAAATTATAATCCGGCCCTCCAACAGTTTGAGGGACTGTGACCTGGTCCTCTGTTTAAAAAGTTTGTGGACCCCTGCCCTTGATTGTTCAGGTCCAGGCTATTTGGCCGACTGCATGCCCTTGTACGAACCTGCCCGAACTCTGAGATCCTCAGGAGAGGCTCTTCTTTCGGTCTCACCTCCATCTTAAGCTCAATTGTTGGGAACAAGAGTGCAGGCCTTCCTTCTCGGTGGCTGCCCCTCCACTCTGGAACTCCCTGCCCAGAGAAGCCATAACGGCTCCCTTCCTGCTCTTCTTCCAGTAGCAGGCTAAAACCTTTTTATTCAGGCAAGCTTTTAAAGAAGAAGATTTTAAAGATTGTCAGAGCATATATGATTATATATGCTTTTAATGATGTTCAATATTGTTTTAATACTTGTATATTTGTATATTTTAAGTTGTATTGCAATACTTTTAGTTGTAAGCCACTTTGAGTCTCCGTATGGAGAGAAAGCAGAATATAAACATAATAATAATAATAATAATAATAATAATAATAATAGGCATTTGCGGCCACAAGCCCACTTTTTCAAACAACTGGCTACCTAAATAGATGGATGGATAACTGCGCGCGCACACTCAAGGTAGGGACTAGACTATATTTGTTTGGAAAACAAAGCAAGGCCAAAAAGTTGCCCAAGGCGAGAGATAACTGTGGGTGTGACACTAGTCTGTGTGTCCTGAATGAATACAGAACCCACTCTGATTTTCCTTGGACACTTTATCAAACAATAGGCTGCCCAGGTGAGTGGTAGGATAAAAATGCACTCACGCTGTAGGGTCTCTAACCACCTCATCACATTGAGAGGGGAAAGCATGGGTGACTGTACCTTTAAGGGAGAGAATTGCCCGGTTTGGAGTGGAAATTTAAGAGCTGGCAATATATTCATTTTACATTCATCACAAGGTATGTATTACTTTTTTAAATCAGGAGAAACAACAGAATCCGAAAACCAAGAGATCTCCTACTCTGCCAAAAGCCCCTTACAATAAAGGAGATTAACATCAGTTTAAAACCAATTCTTTCCATGGGATCCTATTGTTCTGCATCAAACTCCATAGGATACAAGAGGAAGTGATCCAGGTTAAAACCATTGCTTTCCATGGGGTCCTAGTGTTCTTCACCAAACCCCATAGGACAAAATAATTGCTTTCTATAGGCTCCTATTGTTCTGCACCAAACCCCATAGGATAAAGAGACGTTGAACCAGGTTAAAACAATTGCTTTTTATGGGATCCTATCATTCTGCACCAACCCCATAGGATAAAGAGCTGGTCATCCAGGTTAAAACCATTGATTTCCATGGGATCCTTTTGTTGTGCACCAAATCCCATAAGATACCAGAGATTGCTCAGCGTTGGACAATTAAACAAGATAGGAAACTTTTGATGGTTCCCATCCCACGTGTTTTTCAGTTGTAAAGGTGGGAGTAAAGTGAGATAAGAGATAGGAGCTCTGAACACAATTGCTAGCCCGTGTTCAAAGTTTCCTCCTTTCAGGACATTTCTACCTCTTTTCAAACCTGGAACATGTGATGAGCTCTGGGCCTCTCCATGCTTGAAAAGAGGCTGAAGTGTCTTACCAGCGGGAAATTTCTCAATGTGATGGAGTCAGATTCCCGGAGGGCCCTTCCACACAGCCATATAACCCAGAATATCAAGGCAGAAAATCCCACAATATCTTCTTTGTACTGAGCTATTTGAGTCCACAATGCCATATATTCCAGTTCAAAGCAGAAAATGTGGGATTGTATTTAGCTGTGTGGAAGGAGCCTGTGTAAGCTAATTGCACAGGAGTTCTATACCATTTTGTCATTATTTTCTGTTGCATTTCCTTAATATTGAAATGTTTTATTTTATTAATTGATTTTATCCAATTGTCAATTTCTCTCTCGCTGCAACTTAGTTCCTCCTTCCAGACTTCTGTCCCTGATTATCTGTCTGAACGTATCTCCCCTATGAGTCAACTAAGACATTAAGATCTGCTGGGGAGGCCCTGCTCTTGGTCCTATCTCCTTCGCAAGTGCAACTAGTGGGGACGAGGGACAGGGTCTTTTCAGTGGTGGTCCCTTGGCTATGGAACTCCCTCCCCAGTGATATTAGATCCTGCTTTTGAGAAAGTTAAAATTTGGGTGTGGAAACAAGCGTTTGGGTTGTTGTACAACCATAGTGCAATATAGAACCACAGAGTCAATATAAACGAATCGGCTTGGACTATGATTGCAGGATGAGGTGCTATGTTTTTAACAATTATCTAATTGTATTTATTTGTTTTATTTTCTGATTTTAATGTTTAACTAGCTGTACCTGCCACGCATTGCTGTGGATAATCTTCCCTCCCTTTTTCTCTCCTTCCTTCCCTCCCTCCCTCTTTCTTTCCTTCCTTCCCCTCCCTTTTTCTTTCTCTACCTATTCTTGGACTGTAACTCCGAGCAGTCCTCCTGATTGATCTGTCTACCTACTATCTATCTATCTCTATCTAATCTATATATCTTATCTATCTGGAGGATCGCTGTAAGTTGCAGTCCAGGAATAGGAAATATATACAGATTGGGATGTTCTCAAAGAAATCCAAGGAGAAGCAGCTTGGAAGCAGTACATTTGGAGCATCCTCCTCCCCTAAAGGGCCTGGTCTAGGGGATGCTGGGAGCTGTCGTTTTTGCGCATGTGCTGTATCATTTAGCTTTTGGGGTTTTTAAAGTCCTTTTGACTGTTTTTTTAGGAGGGGTTTATGAGTGATGGTCACTTGTTGGTCTGTTAGGGATGTAGTGTCCAAATATTGTGTCAATTTGTCCAGTGGTTTTTGAGTTATGTTAATCCCACAAACGAACATTACATTTTTTATTTATATAGATCAGGGGTCCTCAAACTTTGTAAACAGAGGGCCAGGTCACAGTCCCTCAAACTGTTGGAGGGCCAGATTATAATTTGAAAAAAAACACCATAATTTGAACTCCTATGCACACTGCACATATCTTATTTTAAGTGCAAAAAAACACTCAAAAACAATACAATAATTTTTTTAAAAAATTGTCGTGTCAGGAGCGACTTAAGAAACTGCAAGTCGCTTCTGGTGTGAGAGAATTGGCCGTCTGCAAGGACATTGCCCAGGGGACGCCTGGATGGTTTAATGTTTTTATCATCCTTGTGGGAGGCTTCTCTCATGTCCCCGCATGAGGAGCTGGAGTTGATAGAGGGAGCTCATCCGCCTCTCCCTGGATCCGAACCTGCGACCTGTCAGTCTTTAGTCCTGCCAGCACAGGGGTTTAACCCACTGTGCCACTGGGGGCTCCAATAATTAAAATGAAGCACAGTTTTTAACAAATATAAACTTATCAGTATTTCATTTTCTAAGATCTACAGAGACACTCGCTGGAACACCTCAGCAAGCGAGAGCCCAAAAGTGGCAGGCTCAAACCCAGAATCTCAACCAATGGCTGATATCAGATGAGAGACTCCCCCCTGGGCACACAGAGGACTGGGTGACTTGGAAGGCGCTGAACAGACTGCGCTCTGGCACCAGGAGATGTAGAGCCAACCTTCAGAAATGGGGCTACAAAGTGGAATGCGAGTGTGGAGAGGAGCAAACCACTCACCACCTGCTGCAATGCAACCTGAGCCCTGCCACATGCACAATGGAGGACCTTCTTGCAGCAACACCAGAAGCACTCCAAGTGGCCAGATACTGGTCAAAGGACATTTAACCAACTACCAAACTCACAAATTGTGTATTCTGTCTGTTTGTTTGCTTTGTTCTCTTAGAAATGTAATATAATATGACTGGTTGTCCTGACACGACAAATAAATAAATAAAATAGTATTTCATTCGGAAGTGTGGGCCTGCATTTGGCTGATGAGTTAGGATTGTTGTTGTTGAGTGCTTTCAAGTCTTTCAGACTTAGGTTGACCCTAAGTGAGGGCCGGGTAAATGACCTTGGGGGGCCTTATCCGGCCCCTGGGCCTTAGTTTGAGGACCCCTGATATAGATACATGTGTTGTGTAGTTATATGCTTTTATGTTGCAATGTGGCATTGAATTATTGCCAATTCGAACTGGAAGCTGCTTTGAGTCCCCTTTGGGGTGAGATAGAGCGGGGCAAAAACGCAGTAAATCAATCAATAATTGCACTGTATTGTTTTCTCGTGGTTGTTTTGTGTATGAATCCCATGATTCCTTTCTCGTTCTCCACTTCCCATTGTATTATTTTGTCCAGCTTTGTTTCTGGGGTTTCCATTCAGTTAACTTTTTTAGACACCTAGTTTTTGTTGGACACTTCACTCCTGCCCACAGGTATGGTCCTTGGAGGCGGCAGTGAGCTGTCTCAGTGTGAAATGCAGCTGCTGAGGAGCGCAGGCACGCTCCAGGCCCTTGAGGAGGGTCCTCCCTCTGCTCCCCTCCCCTCCCGCGCATGCGCCCCTCGGCCAAAGAAGCGCGAGGCCACTGCGCCGGTTAAGCCGAGAAACCCTCCCGAGGGGCGACGCGCTGAGGGCCTGGCGGGGTCGCTCCAAGCGGTGCCTCCGCCTTCCTCACTCACCTGAGGGACGCCAAGCGCTGCCAAGAAACGAACTCCCGCCTCCGCCGCTTTCGTGCCGCTTTCCCTCCGTCGGGAGGGGCAGAGGAGGGGAACGAGGAGGCGCCTCCTTCCTTCCTTCCCTCCCTCCCTCACAAACACACTCACACACAAACGCTTTCGAGATGAGAGGGGGAAGGAGGACGCAGGGCGCATGCGCACACGTCCTCCTTTGGCTTGGAATTCTGCGAGATGGGGAAAAAGAAGAACTGCGCAGGCGCGAAGCGAGGGAATCCCAAACGCCAGTCTGTGGAAGTGAACGGGCGCGAGGCGAGGGCGGGAGAGAGGAAAGGGCGGGAGTGGCTTTGCCTCCAATGGGTTCCCCTCACACTGCGCTCTCCCATTCCACTTACACTGACGTGCAGGGGCAGCTCAACCCATTACACAAAGTAAGCATTTGCAGTATAGTTGATTTTGCTCAGGGGCGCTCTTGAGGCGCTCTTGGGGGAAAATAGACCTTGACATATGCGAGATGTAGTTACTGGGATGTATAGTTCACCTACAATCAAAGAGCATTCTGAACTCCACCAATGATGGAATTGAATCAAATATGGTACACAGAACTCCCACGACGAACAGAAAATATATATATCAGTGATTGGTTGGGTGGGGGCGCCAAAATACTGTTTGCTTACCGTTGAAAATTACCTAGGGCCGCCTCTGCTGACATGGGAGCATTCTCTGAATGCTATCACTATTATATTTATGTACTAGCCGTCCCCTGCCACACTTTGCTGTGGCCCACATGGGGGTTCTGTGTAGGAGGTTTGGCCCAATTCTATCGGTGGGGTTCAGAATGCTCTGTGATTGTAGGTGAACTATTAATCCCAGCAACTACAACACCCAAATGTCAAGATTCTATTTTCCTCAAACTCCACCAGTGTTCACATTTGGGCATATTGAGTTTGATCCAGATTCATCATTGTTTGAGTCTACAGTGATCTCTGGATGTAGGTGAACTACAACTCCAAAACCAAAGGACACTGCCCATCAAACCCTTTCAGTATTTTCTGTTGGTCATGGGAGTTCTGTGTGCCAAGATTGGTTCAATTCCATCGTTTGTGGGGTTCAGAATGCTCTTTGATTGTAGGTGAACCATAAATCCCAACAACTGCAATTCCCAAATCAATTTTTTTAGTGAAGGACATACATTGGGTTGTTAGGTGTCTTGTGTCCAAATTTGGTGTCAATTCGTCCAGTAGTTTTTGAGTTCTGTGAATACCACAAACAAACATTACATTTTTATTTATATAGAGTTCATAAATACGGAGGCGGCCCTAGGTAATTTTCAACGGTAAGCAAACAGTATTTTGGCACCCCCCCCCCCAACCAATCACTGATATATATTTTCTGTTCGTCGTGGGAGTTCTGTGTGCCATATTTGGTTCAATTCCATCATTGGTGGAGTTCAGAATGCTCTTTGATTGTAGGTGAACTATACATCCCAGTAACTACAACTCACATATGTCAAGGTCTATTTTCACCCAAGAGCGCCTCAAGAGCGCCCCTGGGCAAAATCAACTATACTGCAAAGGCTTCCTTTGCACAATGGGTTGAGCCACCCCTGCAGAAATATAATAACATTATATTAATGATATCTATAATTTATACATTATTATATTTATTTTTGTATTTGGCCCAATCTGTTGATCTGGAAAATAAAATAATGATAAAATGTTGGTTTCTAATAAATGTAATGTCTTCATGCTTGTGGGTAAACAGTATTTCTTGCTGTTTCTTTGTCAGTGTTGGTGTGGAGAGTGTCTGTTTTGCCCACCCTGGAACATGCAAGATATCATTTTCCTTCTTTAAGGGTCCCTTTCAAATCTATGATATTATATCTCTGTGTGTGTGATTCATATCTATCTATATCTATGGCTGGATGGCTCTTTGTCAGGAAGGCTTTGATTACGTTTTCTTGCCCTGGTGAAGGGAGTTGGACTGGATGGCCTTGAGTATTTTCTGTTGGTCATGGGGGTTCTGTGTGGGAAGTTTGCCCCAATTCTGTCGTTGGTGGGGTTCAGAAGGCTCTTTGATTGTAGGTGAACTCTGAATCCCAGTGACTACAACTCCCAAATGTCAAGGTCTATTTCCCCCAAACTCCATCAGTGTTCATATTTGGGCATATTGAGTGCTTGTGCCAAGTTTGGTCCAGATCCATCATTGTTTGAGTCCATGGTAGTCTCTGGATGTAGGTGAACTACAATTCCCAAACTTAAGGTCAATGCCCACCAAACCCTTCTAGTGTTTTCTGTTGGTCATGAGAGCCCTGTATCCCTGGTTGATTCAATTCTATCATGCTATTTGATTGTAGGTGAACTATAAATCCCAACAAATACAACTCCCTATCTATTTATCTATCCAGATCCATCATTGGTCCAGATCCATCATTGTTTGAGTCCACCAAGGTCAATGCCCACCAAACCCTTCCAGTATTTTCTGTTGGTCCTGGGAGTTCTATGTGCCAAGTTTGGTTCAATTCCATCATTGGTGGAGTTCTGAATGCTCTTTGATTGTAGGTGAACTATAAATCCCAGCAACTACAACTCCCAAATGACAAAATCATTTTTTTTGAGTGATGGTCACTCCTTGTGTTGTGAGATGTTTTGTTGCCAAATTTGGTGTGATTTCTTTCATTGGTTCTTTTGTTTTTAAGGTACTCATTATGCACAGAGCATTTAAATGTATATAGATATTAAGGAGTAGGGCCGTAGTCAGGAAAAAAAAATCGGGGAGGGTTGAACCTTTTTTTAGCAAATCATGAAGAGTAGCTCAATAACACAACAACAACATTTTTAATACAGTCTAAAGACCCTTATTGCTCCGTAAAAGGTATAAGATACAAGGTATGCTAGGTTAGTAAGGCCAAAAATAGCCAAAACTGATTAAAACACACGATGTGGGTGGAATTAACAGCAGATAAAAGTGATAAAACAAGGATTAAAACTTATAACCAGCATTTAAGATAGCTATGACCTAGGTAAAAGACTACAAAGGGTAACATGCATGTTTCATCATGCCATAACATAAAATACTTTAAATTATATGGTTTCAAGTATATTTTATCTAGACTTCATTAAATCAAATTTCTATTTTAGTTAAAGTTTCAAGTCTTAAAATAACTGAAAATGATTGCTAATCGATAATTTATAGTTACAAAAGAATACCACAACGTTTGTTAGAAACACTTGAAAACTGTGTCAGTACACTTTGACAGAAATCATTTTTTTCTCTTTTTGTTTCTTCCCAGGATTTCCCCAAGTAAACACCATTGAAAATCCAATACTTGAAAGCCAGCTCTGCCAGACAGCACAACTTGGTAATTTCTTATTATAATATATATATAAATATATGTGTCTTTGCTTATATATGTACGCAGCTGTCACTTTGGGTGCAGATTTGAGGGACATACACTATTCAAAAGGGATGACTAAGAAAATAGAAACCTCAAGAATTCCATCAAGAAATAGTGGTTTTTCTTATTTATCTAACTACTAGCTGTACCCGCCATGGGTTGCTGTGGCCAACCTTCCCTTCCTCTTTCTCTCCTTTTTTCTCTCTCCTTCCGCCCCCCCCCCTTTTTTTCCTCTCTCCTACCTTCCTTCCTTCTCTTCCTCTTCCCTTCCTTTCCCTTCCCCTTTTTTCCTTCTCTACCTATTCTTGGACTGCAACTACCAAAGTCCACCTGATCAATCTATCTACCTATCTATCAGTCAATCTATCTATCTCTACCTACCTACCTATCTATCTGGAGGATTGCTGGGAGTTGCAGTCCAAAAATAGGAAATTAGAAATATGTATGGATTGGGTTGCTCTCAGAGAAATCCAAGGAGAAGAAAGCTTGCATCTTGGAAGCAGTGCATTTGGATCATCCTCCTCTCCTAAAGGGCCTGGTCTAGGGGGCTGTAGTCCAGAAGAGAGTGTGAATATGCTACTGTGTGTTTTATTTGCCAGGGGGAGTCATTTTTGCACATGCGCTGTAGCGTCTTTTTCCTTTTTTGGCTTCTAAAGTCCCTTCTGTTGTGTTTTTCAGTGTTTTTATGAGTGATGGTCACTTGTTAGCTAATAGGTGTATTGTGTCAAAATTTGGTGTCAATTCATCCAGTGGTTTTTGAGTTATGTTAATCCCACAAACGAACATTATATTTTTATTTATATAGATATGTTGTATTCCCAAAACAATATATGACACATCAGCATATTGGGGGGCGGGGAGGGTGAACTATGGTTTAATATTAATGTCACAAATACTTGATTTCTAATATCTTCAACTAATGGATATACATGTATGTATCAGCTCCCAGTGAACTCAATAACTGGTCTATCCAGAATATCAAATACATGCCTAAACAACTTTTCACATGGCAGCTATGAATACAGTTCTGCTTAGAAGGCATGACAGGCAGATTAGCCTTCTGTTATTTCTGTGTGAAGAATGTTCTGCAGATAAAACAACTGAGAGCTGTCAGGCAAATGTGTGTTGTGAAGTGCAGTTATTATATTTTAATGAAGCCTGCAGATATTGCATCTGTGAGGATACGTACCCTGTGGATAAGGGACTACTCTAATCACATATAATCGGATTTATTAAGTATGAAGTAAACTAAGGTCCCCAAGACAACAGCTCTTGCCATTGAGGCACAGTAAGTGCTCATCATTTAAGTAAACAAAGTGACGACTGTGTCTGCCACAAGGATTCTAGTGATTTATCCTCCAAGCTCTCTGATATGAATGCATCTGTCCTTTTGCTGAAATCCTTACCATCTGTTCTTACATACTCCTCCAGTCTCAGGGAGTGATTAACTAGCTATTGTGAAGAAGAAAAAACACCTGTTCCTTTAATTCACAATGAAGTGCATATTAAATTGATAAAAGTTGTACTTTTGAATGCTCAAAATCAGTTTCAAATTCTAAATAATACAACCGGCCCTCCACATTGATGGTAGGTAGAAAAAACACCAGTAACTCTGGGCTCCCCAAAATCTTAAATCTTAATTCAGTTCACCATATTTAACACATGGACATAATCATCAATTTTCTTCAGTAGCCAACAAAACTAAAAAGAAAAATCCTATTAAAATATTGATGACTACACAGTTGATCAAGCATAAGGTTTTAAATCATGAATGACTGTTTCATAATTATTATATTCAGGCAGTTTCTATCTTATGC